AGACACAGAATCCGAAGCAGGCTCCAGGCTCCCAGCTGTCAGCACAGAGCCCGATGCGGGGCTCGAACTCACAAACCATGAGATCATGACCTGAGCCGAAGTCAGACACCGGCCCGACTGAGCCACCCAGGTGTTCCACTGTCGAATTCTTCCCATAGGAGTGTGCCTAGAGAAATCAGGTTCTCAGAGATGCACGTCAGCAATACCATCACTGTCCTCAAGTGGTCATCAGGGAGAACAGTGGGGTCACTGATTTTACCAGCCAGTCTGCCTACCATCTTACTGTCAATGTCACTAAGCGCACATTAAGTGACCCAGTCCTTCCCTTCTCTTCCAAGTCATCCCAGCAGAGCAGTTTTCAAGGAAAGAATAAACCAGGCCAGAGGTGGTTGAAAATGTATTTATTTTTCTTCAAATGATCTTTTTCAAGCAATAAATAAAAACAGACATGTCAACTTTTCTAAAAAACAAAACCAAACAAAAAAAATCCCCTAAACTATATACATCCTACAGAAATACAAGCATATCAAATGTAGAAATGACATCACTCTGAAAGACGGGGCTATTTACAAAAGTTACAAGTATTGCATTGCTCTGTCTTGAAGAAGCCTCTTCCTCATATGACTCATAAGCTCTAAGAACAGGCAGGGTGCCCTTCGGGGACGGGGTTATCTTCAAGAGGTGAAACTCCCCATCTTTCTTGTTCAACAAGGAAAATGTAAGGAAAGACCCCAACGTCCAGACACTGTATTCAATTCGCCGACAACGTTCCACAGATCAGATGACTTTCGAGGAGCCTGAGAGGTGCCCCTTCAGGAGGTCACATGCTCCTTGAGCTCCTGATAGAAACCATCTTGTCCCGCAGCCAGGCTGGGACGGGTGGCAAGACCCTGCTGAGCCAGTGACCAACCCCTGGTTGTGGTTTCTTCGGGACAAGCTAGTTCTGTCATGAAGACTAGCCTTCCAGAAAGCAAAGCCATTTTCCCCATCTTGGCCGCACATGGGGCACACTTGGGGAGCTCAGAAACACACGGATGCCTCGGTCCCAGCTCCAGAAATCCTGGCTTAATTGGTCTGGGATAGCCTGGTAGCAAGGTTTTCAAAACTCCCCAGCTGATGCCGGTGGACAGTCAAGGTGAACCACCTCTTCCGTACTTTGGGCTTGGTGGCCAACTCCCATCCCGATCAACCATCCTGCCTCCTCTGTCTGTCCACTTTCCCACGGATGTTTACATTTTTTTCTCATGGCATCCCAACCTTGTTGAAAACTCTGGAATCCAGTTCCAACAAGCACCTGAGCCAAAATGGCCTCAGGAGGAAAGGACTGAGACTGTGAGCTCCCGGCCACCTGTTCGTGGCACTTTCAGCCTGGTATGTCTCCATGGGAAAGTCAGGTGTGTTACCCTCAGCGATCCACAAACACCCTTGGTCACACAAGATTCTGGGAGCTGACAGCAACCCTTGGTCTCTAGAGGAGATCCAAGGTAGCCAACAGCATGGCTGATAATCAGTGAAAGTGGCAACGTTTTCCGGCCATCACAGAAAGTTTGCATCACCAGAAATCACTTCATGGGAGAGAGGCCAATGGAAACCCACCTGACCATTTGAACTGACCCTGTGGTGGTGTCTTCATTAGAGTTATGTCGAGTCATCAAAGAGGCTTCTGATGGCAGAATTATGACCACCTCCCCCAAATCCCCTCTTCCTATCAAGCCAATTTCCTATTTTTATTTCTAAGAGTTGTGGGACTCACGTTGTCATCAAGTACAAAGAAAATGGCTTTATAAATAGCAGTTTGACACAGTGACAGAAGACTTGAATTGTAAAGTGGGGGGAAGACGTGTCTGGGGCTGGTCCTGAGCTCCGTCTGTCCACATGGTTGGAATCCAGTCTGGGAAAACACAGGTTTTGGTGGATGTGCACTTGTTCTATAGAAAGTGAGTCTGTTCCAGGTTACTTTTCCTCCCCCTGCAACAGCCACCCTGCCCCCCAGGTCCATCTGCTGTTGGAACCCAGGGCTCCCTCAGCTGCAGAACCCAGTGGACCTCATTCACTGCAAAACACAGAGCAACCTCCAGGAATCAAGGAAAAAGTGGGAATGGCCAGCTGTGCCACCTCTAAATAGGTCCATTGTCCAGGCATCTTAACCCCTCCACACCTCACCCCTATTCAGCCAGGCAGCTCCTAGGGAATGAGGGAGCCTTTGGCTTTTCTAAAAACAGGAAGCGGGAACTCTGGCCTCACCCAAAGACAGGGCTTGACAAAGGCAGGATGAGTGATGCCAGCACAGGTTCATGTTTATGGAAGGAAATGTAATGAACCTGGTCCTGTCTGGGATGCCAGGATAAGAAAGAGCATTCCAACACGATTCTGACATTGAGGCTTGAAGTTATTTACGGATGAGCAAGAATATTCATTTAGATCTAGACTCACAAGGGGCTAAAGAACAAAAAAACAAAAGAACAAAGAACAAAAAAACAACCAAAAAATAAACATGCTCTCATTTCTAGACAAGTTTGCAAATACCTCTAAGCTGGCACTCAGTAACAACACTGTTCCACACTACTACAACTGAAGTAACATGTAGCTTCCCTCCTCCCTCCCCCCAAGCCCAACCCACACACAACATCCTTCTCCCTCAAAAAGCCTTACCTCCGTTTGGAAAGGCCCCTTCAAATGGCATTATCCCAAGAATGGATTCCAAAATGGCACCCGAGCACCCACGGTGCCCATTCCAGGAGCCCAGCAGCCAGCTCCCAAGCAAAGGGTCTGCCCAGCTCCTCACACACACTCTTCCATCCTAGACCTGAAACATGGTGTCCATTCCCCTCTTTTTATTCAAATAAGGGCCTTTAAAAAATATTCACCTAAGCCGGGGAATTTTAAAAAGGCAAGAATTTGTTGGCGTACTTCTACTCTCACAGGATTCACATCACGTCTGGCTCTAGTTAGCTGGGTTCCCCAATGGCCCGGCCCAGCGATTCCCTGGAGGAAAATCTCCACTGCGCCCAATTTTTCAGGAGCACCTTATACAACATGGCATTTATCACAGATGATATGCAAGTCCTCAGGCAGGTCTGTGAGAACATGCTCCCGCCAACTGGATCGCCCATCCTCAGAAAGAAAAGACTGTACTGTCGGGATGTAAAGCCACTTTAGTGTTCCATGTGCCCAGGAACCAGCCTCAAAAGTCATCAAACAGCAGTCCTCACCTTCCTTCCACCTGCCACCCCACCCTGCCTGCTTCTCAGTGGCAACCAGTCCCAGGTGTCTATCCCGCCACCTTGTCCACACCTGGGAGATGCCATTTCCCTTCTAACTGCTTCGACATTTGCACGCTATCGTGCTCCGCTGCGGGACATCGACAGAAACATACCCAAAATTCACTGTCACTAGACTCCTTGTACTTACGTACTCTGAGGAAATTCTTAATAAATACTTTTATTTATGACGAAGCGTAATTATTCACCCGTTGGTGACTTCAAAAGGAAAACCACGTCCTATAAGATTTCGTCAAAGAACACAAAACATCGACCAAAAAACAAAAACAACCAAAAAAAAAAAAAAAAAAAACCTGTTACAAGAACAAAAAAAGGACGAAGCACACAGAACCAGGCACTTCTGGCAAACTTGTTTTCTTTTTGTCCCTTTCCCACTCCCACCCGCCTCCCCCCCACCTTAACAAAACTGGGTGGGCACATTTGCCAGGATCTGTGGGTTTCCTAACTTCAAGCCTTACCGCTTAAAAAAATGAGGTAAGAAATCTTCTGAAAGTAAACATTCATCATCAAAACCAAAACTTTCTTCCCTGTCTGCCGCTGAGGCAGCTGAAGAGCCATATTGCCTAGGTTGGAGTGTTTTGTTTGCTAAGTGGTGTATTCGTCGGCCTGTTATCACTAGCTGGCCCCAGGCTGGCCCAGGAGGAGCAAAGGGGAGGAGTTTTCTGGCACACCCTGCTACCCTATTGCTGTCACCACGTCAGCGCATGGCCCTGCTGGGGGTGGGAATCTGAACAGCCGCCCAAAGCAGCTGGGGATCGGTGATGGGGCTGTGTGTAGGGCAGGCATGTGGGGCCGAAAGTGCACGCACCACAATCTCAACTCGGGAAGTAATACAACCATGGTGGTGGTCTTTTGCCTTCGCTTCTCAGAGAGGGAAGCCCCGTATGGGCTGCGGCCTCACGCAGCGTAGGACACCAGACCAGCACCACTCGAACCTGCAGGCTGCCTCCCATGAAGCCATGAGTTCGGCAAGTGATGCTCTCGCCGCTGTTTGATCTGTCCATACCAAGCGCCCCTCCGCTTCTCACTCATCATGGGTAGGCCGTGCAGATGGTGGTTACGACGGATGCTCCCCGCCTGCAGTGCACCACGCACCCGGTCAGAGTCAGTCCTTCACTGCATGCCTGGGGCAGAGAGCCATGCGGTTATGCAGGCCTGGCTGCTGCTGTCCCCAGGCTCCACCAGATGGCAGGTGCGGGCGGCGCCGCGGGGGGTGGGGGGGTGGGGGGCGGGGAAGAGTGTTGGGGGAGGGGCACTCCCGGTCCAGGAAGGTCCAGGAATAACGTTGGCGGCCGAGGAGGGGGAGGAGGAAGCCCACCGCAAAGGACTCTAGGATTCCTTCCACCCATTCTGGGCTATTTTTTTGAGACTGATCCAAACAAATGCACTAAGCTTGGGAAAAATGCATGGTAAAGCCGGTTAAATCCCAACATACCTTCAAGGATTTCCATGTGCAGGAACAAAAACACTGGCCCAGTTCTCCCTTTATTTGTTTCCTCCCCATCCCCAAAGCCTTATCATCTAGACATCTGGAGCCACGCACGGAAAACGTTATTGCCTAGATAAGCTAACGGCCCGGCTGGGGAGTCTCTCTTCCTATCCCCACCCAACACAGCATCCAGGCAGTGAGCCTTCCTCAGAGGCACAGGGGAAAGGGGCACACCCCGGCGACCGCGCCCCTTCGGTCCCTCCTTCCGCAGGCAAGTACCCGTGGTTCCCTCACAACCTCCTGCACTCGGCCTGCACCCTGCACCGCACCACCAGAGCCAACCTACCGATGTACTCAATGGCTTCCATGAACCAGGAGCTGATGTCTGCCTTGTGGTTGTCTTCCACGGGAATGCACTTGTACTGATAGTGGCCTTCAAAGTGGTTCGGGCAATCGGAGGAGACATTCAACAGGGCCGTGATCCCCAGCGCGTCCAGCATGTCCCTCCGGGCAGCGTGGTAGGCACTGCCGAGGTAGAGGAAGGGAAGGATCTCCACAGGACCCCCCTGCGCCAGAAAGAGAGGGCAGAGTGCCCCCAACATCGTGAGTGTAAGGCCCCCAGGAAAATGGCCAGGGTGCTTGGGACAGGGCGGGAGGGTACCTGGGCGAGGTGGGCTTTCACAGGCCCAGGGGAGAACGCCTGTGGACACAGCCCTTCCGGGTCTCCCCTTAGCCTGCTGGGGCTCCTGGCGGGACACCAGGCCCGGTGGGCTTCTCTAGCCTTTACGCTCCGCTCTGCTGTGAGCGGCAAAGCCAGGACAGGTCAAGCCTCGTGGGCCCCACCTGCCGGTTCAAGCAGCCCTCCTCCCCCTCGATAAATAAAGTGGCAGACACAACACCGGCCTTGCCACACCACTTAGGACACGAATCTACACCTAACTCAGCGCCACGCTGTCTGTTGTGGGGTCGAGGGCACATTAGAAACGGATGCTGTTTCGGCCTCACAGACAAGAAGCGGGATCTATGAGGAAATGGGGGCTGCAATTCGTGACGTTTTCTGAGTCAGACCAACTCAAATGGTCTGGGATCTGACACCAGACTTGCTGGACCCTATGAATCCACTCCCTCTCCGTCTAAGTGCAAAGGCTGGTAAGACACAGAGCAGCTTAAGCCGGTTTTCTTGGGGGAGGGTTGGCCAACCATTTATGTCCATTGGGCGTCTGCAATTGGCTTGTACACGGCAAGGTGGCCTGGCTCTTTCTACACAACAGCCCACATGCACTGGCTTCAGCAATCCCCGCGTGTCCGCACGTGAAGTTAGAGGCAAAGTCAGAAAGTTAGGTCTTTGTATGTTTCCAAATGAGGGCAATAAGAGGGAAGGAAGGAACAAATGGACCCTCCCTAACACTGCACCCCAGTACTCAGGGTTCACTCCATTCTCCCCAAATTGAGGCACTGGATCCAAAGCCTCTGCAAAGCAGAACTCTGAAAATAAGCCCCCTTGCCCCCGCCTCACCCCCTCCCCTTGCCCCTTTCTCCCAGGCTCTGGGCCCGGGTCTACCTGGTCGTGCAGCGGGGTTCCGCAGGAGCCACAGCCCACGTCCAAGGACTCAGCAGTGCTGGGGGGAACAGCAGGTGGGATGGTTGCCAGGGCCTTCGTTTTGGAACAGAATTCTGGGTACTCGGAAGAAAACCTCTCATAGCCACCTGTAAAAGAGAAAGACGTTGGTGTTAATAGAGTCACAAAGCCGGCAAAACCCCAGAAAAGTACTTGAATCTGACTCCTGGACTGAGGAGAACGGCTGGGAAGCTGGGAACGGCCGGATCTACATTGGCCACCGGGTGGCGCTGTGGGCCCAGAGATCACGGCTATGGAGCCTTCAGAGAGCCGCATTTGGCCGGGGCTGCATCCTGAAGGCTGGAAGGGAAGTTTTAGGAGCAAGACTTAGGTTTGGGAGGCAGATACAGAAAGGACGACGTGCAGGGGATATGCAGAAGGGACTTTCCACGGCAGCTTCTTGGGGTGATGTCAAAGCATGGAAGACTGGCCATTGTGTGTTTCCAGGAGCCCCGAGGCAGTCTGGTGCTGGGCCCGGGGGCCTGCAAAGATGGCTGTCATCCCCCACCTCCAGTCCTGCCTTTGGAGAGGTTCTGCAATGCGGGAGAGAAGGAAAAAAATTTACCCTGGCACCAGCCCTTCTGGATCTCAGCAACAGAACAGATGCCAATCGCCCAGCCTCATGAACAGCTGTTCATCAGCAAGGGGCCAAAATAAGAGGAAACGGGCTTAAATATAAATCCCTCTTGCTACATACAGGTTTGGGGCAAGGCAGGATTTCCTGACCTGCGAGTTGCTAAGCTCTGGAATGGTTATCTGTGGGATCGTCTTCCGGGGAAGGGAGGTCTTTTAAGTAAAAAGAGATAAAGGGCCGACTTCTCTGGAATAGTGTTAGTGCCAAGCCGAAAAGCTCCTGCTGGCTGGCGGAGGGCAGAGAGGCAGGAGAGGGGCAGGAAACACTAGAAGAGAAACGCTTGGTCAGTATCCGATTTACTCTCAGTTCTGGGACTTTGCTTTGCGAGTAACTTAGCATCCACGGTCCTTGTGTGGCCCTGCTTGCATTTTTATCTTGCAGTTTCCATAGGACCCGAAACATATTACAAATTCATTCAGGAGAGCCTACAGGTTGTGAAGCGACCATTCAACCAACAGTCCCGAATGTAGCTAGCACCGTTAAATCCTGACGCGTAAGCGGCATGGTGTCACGGGTTCCTAGAGACATTTATGGTAACCTTCCGACATGCAGACATGTGACAGTTAGTCAATCACTTGCCCAGATCCCAGCCCTAGAAAATTCTGCTTTGCAGAAGAAGGGAATGCTTCTTCGCCACATCATAAGGCTTACAGAACAGGGTATACATTTCTTCCTCTCTGTTCCCCTCCATTCCCTCCCTCGGGATATAAATGGAGATCTCTCTGGTCACAGGCCTGGCTCCTGCTGAGTCACAATAACCAGCTTCCCCCGGAGGAAAGGGCCCAGTACTGGCAGCTTCGGGCGCATTGGTGGCCTTACTGGTCATCTCAGCACAGGGGCACCCCTCCTTCCCATTAGCACCCCCTTTTCTTTACGAGGCTACAAACATTGCTGCCCCAAATGTAGTGAATAATGAGGGAAGATGGCTCTTCCAGCAAATGTCTTTAGCTCAAGTTCCTAAGGTAGAACTCTGGGAAACTTCCTTAAATGTTCCCCTTTGAAAGGCAGAAAGGGAAGTCAATCAATCAACAAACCATTGTTGAACACCTATATACAAAGCCATTAGCTGTTACTCTATGTGTTTCTATAGGATTTAAAGACTTTTAAGTAAAATGATTTCCTGTGTTTATTACGTAATTTGAGCTGTTCAAATATTCTGTTTTCAAAGCTATGGAAGACATGGGCGGTGCGCTCCCAAAGCTTGTCACCCAGACAGGCAGACTAGCGCTGCCCCCCTGAAAGCGAGTGCTGGAGACACAGGAGCGCCAGGGCTAGGCTGTGAGGTTACCGAGGAAGAGCACCCCCCCCACCAAAGGGCAGCGGAAGTAGGAGGAGCCTCAGAGTGGTCAACACACAATGTCCTTTCCATTGCTGAGAAGGTGCGGGACAGGGCACCAGACTGAAAAGGCCTGCGTTGAATCCCAACCTGGTTAAGTCATCAAGGTGTGTGGCCTGGGGCTGTCATCGAACCTCTCTGAGCCTCTCCCTCACTTGTAAAGTGTGATGAGACATCCGCACCTGGCATCCTCTGAGGACTGATTGGAACAGCCAGTGCTCTGCACCTGGCCTCGGGGAGGCACCTAACGAAGACTTCCTTTTCTGGCACTTACAAGGGGACTCCAGCATTACGGGCAATTTCCCAGACTCTGGACAGCCCTCTCCTCCTGGACTTTACTTATTTTTCCAGTCACAGTCTTGAGATCTGGTAGTTAGACAGCAGAAGGGCTGAGTTCACTGCCTGAGTTCCAGGACCTTTCCCCATAGGGGACATTTGCTGCCTCCAGGTCGATCCTCAGTCAGCCCCGCAGGTGGCACAGCACCCACAGCCCAGAAGGCTCCCGAGCTGGCCGATGCCCTCGGGGTGTGGCAGGCAGGGGGCGAGCAGCCAACTGGGAGGGACAGAGGTGACCCGGGGGGCCAGGCCAGGCTTGAAGGGGGGCCATTTGTCATCCACACCACCCCCAAGCCTCTCATAACAGGGCAGAGAGGGCGGGAGAAGGCAGCATTAGAGTGGAGCAGAAACAGGATTACTGAGGTCCGTTCCCTTTGGCAGCTCTTTAAAGAACAAGCAGAAAGGAACCAAGTGAACAAGCAGATTTGCCTGAGGGACTGGAGTGTCCCAGGCAGGCAGCCGTGGAAGGGATTCTCCCTCCTGAGCTGTCGCTAGCTCTGGAGGGTCTGTGGCTGACCGTTATGAAGAGTTGCACCCAAGGAGCTCCTTCCTGCGGGTGGAGAGCGGCACCGGGCTGGGACCTCGGCTGCGCGCAGCACAGAAGGACAGCCCCAGAGCACGCAGGCGGGGTGGCAGGCGGGGTGGCAGGGACGGAAGGCTGCAAGTGAGGAACCACCCACGTCCACACTCCACAAGACCAGCACGTCCACGCCGGGTATCGGCTCCACGTTACTAAAAGGGATAGAGGAAATGCTCACTATGTGCCAGGTTCTTCCCAAGCAGCAGTCCTTGAGGGGTGACTGGCCCCAGTTTTACAAATGAGGAAACTGAGGCACAGGGCAACCTCAGGTAAGGGCAGTGCCAGCGTTCAGGCCACTGGCCTCGAAGCCACCTGCTAGTCTGGCCACCGGGAGCCGACCCTGCTGTGTGCCCATCTCTGCCTTCCTGGTGGTCCTTCTCCCGGGGGAGGCAAAGACTGCTGGTTTCATCCCATTGAAGACACATGTAGAAACAGAAAGGATCTGGACACTCGTGACATTTCACCAAACTCCGCGTCTCACTGGTGTTTTTCAAACTACAGGTTGCCACTAAAGAGTCATGACTAGACTCTTTATTTAAGGAAACACAACAGGATAGAAACTTCTAGAATCCACTGCATTTAAAGAAGGTAGAGGTTCATGGGCCTCTGGTTTCAGGTGTATCTGTATCCCTACGGGGTCACGATGCAAGGATTTCAGACTGTTATCATCTTTAACTTCTGATACTCTGCGATTCTAAATGTCACAAACTTCTCTGCAAAGCAGGTGTCTGAGATCTGCATTTCTAGCTTCTGAATGCAGTTTCATGACACATACACCAATGACTTTCCGCCTATTTTGTGTAGCTCCAATTGGATGTAATTCCATAACAGATATTCTGACTAATTTTGACCTGTTTTTCCCATGTTCTTAATAATAGACTTTCTGGAGGCGCCTGGGTGGCTCAGTCGGTTGAGCGGCCGACTTCGGCTCAGGTCATGATCTCGCGGTCCGGGAGTTCGAGCCCCACGTCGGGCTCTGTGCTGACAGCTCAGAGCCTGGAGCCTGTTTCAGATTCTGTGTCTCCCTCTCTCTCTGACCCTCCCCTGTTCATGCTCTGTCTCTCCCTGTCTCAAAAATAAATAAAACGTTAAGAAAAGAAAATTTAAAGAAAAAATAATAGACTTTCTGGTCTTAAAGCTCTCATTTTCTCATCTTAATTTTGAAACGCGAGTGTCTAGAGGGAAGAAAATATAATACCCCCCCAACTTTTTTTGAGGGATAACCACATCATGGCTAGCTGAACTCCACGCTCTTTTTCTCATACAAAGCAAGACAACTGTCACAGCTTACTGAAAAGGATGACCCACTGTCCACACGTCCATGCAGGGCTGCGACGGTGCGCATAAAAGTGCTCTAGAAAGGACAGGCTGGTGCAGTGCCGATCACATCACCACAGTAGGGCTCTTAGTGGGGTCTGTGATGGGGAAGCCAGTCATTTGGTGGGGACAGTGGTCACAGATCTTAATATGGCTGTTGCTCTTCCAGTCACCCTCTCTCAAACACTCAGAATGTCACCCGTTCACAGACAGGGGCTTGCTCTCCTGGGACTTCATTATCAGTACGAGCCAAACGCTGCCCAGCAAGAAAGTCTGGGGTCATTTGACTTTGAGAACTCCCGTTGATGTGGGTGTTAACTTAGTAAGCACCCACGTAAACGCTGAGCAGTGCTGAAGATTTACCTAAGTGAGCTTCCCACTCTGGGACCCCACACACAGACCTGTGCGTCCTGGGCCAGCTGGCTGACACTTAATGCCACCCTGGAGCTGGAGCTGGTTCACGGTCCCTCCCAGTCCTTCTGGGCTATCTGCTACATTCAGCAAGCTGGCTGGTGCTGCCTTCCGCTGGAGAGTGAACTTTTCTTCCTGTCAAACTTCCTTTGTCAGGCGGCAACTGCCTCCCAGTAAGGAAACTGGCTATCTGGTTTCAGATGTTCTGATTTTTTAAAGGAATTTCTTGGCTCCTTGGAAAAGCCACCTTCCCTCAGTTCCCAGTGTAGCCCGTCTCTCCTATAAGCCCTCAGGACAAGCCCAAGGGACCTGTGATAGGCTTCCTAGTGATAGGGTTTTCACTTTCAATTGATACCTGCACCCGGTCTTTTGTTACTTTTGTTGATTGGAAATATCCAGGTCGGAGGAGTTTGCTTCGCTCGGGGTCATTCTTCAACGAATGACAACAGAGGTGAGAGATTAGCTCTAAGGCCTGCCGTTGTGTGTAATTCTAATGCTCTCAATCCTTGGCTGGCACGGGCACTGTATCATATTTATAAGAAGAAAGGCCAGTCCGTTTCTCTTTGGGTCAAAAGGTGTGCAACGTCATTCCTCCCTCCCCCCCCCCCCCCCCCCCAGCCGGGGTTTGCTGTCTGCTGCCACTGACCTCCTGGGGGACTAGGATGGGCCAGGGAAATGGAGACAGAGAGAGACAAGACCCAGCTCAGCTGCTGGCTGAGCGCTCCCCCCACTCCGTCATTGGCCTTGGGGGCTGTTTCCTACAGAAAGTGTAATGTCACAGTCTGTAGGGTCAGGCCTTAGGACTACAGTGTATGTGAGTCCCAACCTGGAGGGAGAAGCTATCTAATTGATATCTAATTGATCGTCCCACTGCCTCAAGACAGGGCCAGGACAACTTTTAAATCAGAACTTAAAGAACGGACAAAAGTCATGAGCTGAGATGAATTTGAGACAGGAGAAAAGTAAGATATTAGGGTAAGAAAATGCCCTTTTTGTCCTTCTCTAATGACCAGAGTCTAAAACCCTCATCTGAGGAGCTATCAAGGAAAGAAAGGGAGTTCAAAGGAGGTGTGTATTCTAATGAAATCTGAAAAGCTGAAATTTCTAAACTTTCCCCCAAAATGCCTTACAGGACTTTAAATAAAATGAGCTTAAAGTTGGGGGGTGGGGGTGGGGGGAAGATTTGCCCCAATGGGAATCTTCTACTAGCAAAAAGACCAGAGAGTGTAGTGATTTAAGGTTATCGTTCTTAGCAAAACTTGGGATAACATTTAGGAAATGTAAAGGCCAGGCAGCATTTTATTGGTATTAAGTAACATTTACTCTTAACTACGAATTCTTGCATGTGGTGTTAGTTAACCACCTGCAGCTAACTCATTTCTACCAACGCACGTCCACGTGGCAGAAATAGAAAACTCAGATTATTAAACACAATTAGTTGGTAGAATTAGATAGCCTTTGGCTGGAAAGGATAATATAACTTCTGAAAATATTCTGTTTTTCTGTTCCTGTAGGTTGGCAGAGAACAGTCGGGTCTGGCCACTTTTCCTTTCACATTCCCCACCACATGTGCAATGAGATATACAGAAAGTCCCATTAGATGGAAATTAAAATGAACAACTCCGATGGGAACCAAATTACCCAACACTGAATCAATTTAGGCATTTACTAAAGATAATCTAAGGGGCTTTTCCTCCCCAGTTTCCCATTAGTTCTCCGCCCCCAGAGTGCCCTTCCATGAACCCACATTTTCTCCATTTTACTGGCTTCTCCACTAGAACTTAGGAGGCATGGCTGTCCTCTTCCAGCGGTGTGGGAGCAGACACTTGAGGTTCTCCCTCAACTCACTAGGGATGCCTTTTCATTAGAGGACCAAGGGAAGGAAGAGAAACGGTGTTAATTAACACTTCTTCTGCTTAGCACACATATGAAAAGAAGCCAGGTTAACAGCATACGACCCTGTGAACCTGGCAGCTTCTACCATCGCTACAGAACAAGCCCCTCACCACCACCACCACCACTGAATTTCAGGCGGCTGCTTCCAAAGCAGGCTCCTTTCCCTTAGAAGACACAGCTGTTCAGCTGAGTGTCCTGCCTACTCCCCCTGGCCTGTTCCAGAAGAGGCATTAGTTCAACCTGCCGCCCAGGCCTAGATACTAAAGGATATCGACTTTGAGAAGCGGAAGGTAGGCCTCCCCACCACCCCAGGTCAGACAACAGGAAGCAGTGCAGGGCCCAATAGGAAAGAGCCGTTAGATGGCTCCTTTTCCTCCCTCCAGGGACCTCGCCAACGACCAGAGAACTGTCATTTTACCCAGAGGCTTCTGCCCTACTCAGTCTTTAACATTAGCCTCGCGCCCAGCAGCCTAACGGATCTGGCTCTGGGCTCTCCCCTGCGGGTCCAGGGAGGTGCCACCAGCGGGAGGAGGAAACCTTAAAAGCACGCCTCCCTCCCAGGGGCTTAAGCGTCCTGGAGCCCGGAAGCCCAGGGGTCAAGGTCCCCGACCGAGCTGCGGCTCTAGGGCGATCCCCTACGGGTTTCTTCCAGGAAGAAAAACAAAACGCAGCCAGCCTCCACGTGGATCTGCACCACCTCGAGAAGAGCCCTGGCTTCCGAGCCCGCGAAGGAAGGCACAGGCTCGGGCTCTCCATCAGGAGGGATCCAGGGCAGCGCGGCTCGGAGTGCAGCCCGTGCCACCCGAAAGGGCTATCTCCCGGGAGAAATTTCTCCCATTGTCGCCATGGACGCCGGCACCAGGCAGGGGAGGGGAGGCGCGCTCAGCAGCCCGGACCCCCACGGGTGGAAGCCGGACGTGCGTCTGCCGGGCGCTCCGGGCACAGCTCGGCCCCCAGGCAGGCGAGGCCGCCGAGTCCCAGGAGCCCGGCTCGCCGGTCCTTCCGGTGCCACTCCTTCCCGGCACTTTCTCTTAAAGCGCTTTGGGGAGAAAAAAGGAAGATTAGGCTGGATCGGAGGTGCAAAAGGCAGCTCTCACAGAGAAAGAAATATCAGCAAAATCGCCTTAGTAGTTCAACCAAAGGTCAACAGCAGCATTTCCCCAGCAGCTGACAGGTCAAATGGCCAGGAAACAACTGCCGAGAACAAAGCCCCCCGCTGTTCGGCAGGGGCGAACCCGGCTCGGCGGCACTGAGCAGTTTTGTTGTGCTTTTTGGAAAGGGCGGTGGGGAGAGGTTTCCGCCCCTCCTCCCTCCACCACCTCCCTTCCTCCGGGGCGAGCAGGTCCGGAGGGGAAAGAAAGGAGGGAGGAGGCGAAGGACGCCGGCAGGGAAAGGAGCGGCTCTTTGAAGGCCAGGGTCTGAAAAGCCTCTCGGGTTCGGAGGCGAGGACCGGACGCGGGCGAAAGAATGCGCGGAATGCGGCAGTGGGAAGACGGGGCGCAGCGCGGCAGGGGCGCCCCTACCCACACCCCGTCCTGTCCGCTCTCCCACCCGAGAAACGTCAGGGACCGGGACCCGACGAGGCCCGGCAGGTGCGGCCGGGGCACCGGCCCTCCAGTTACTTAGATAGCACGCGGTCCTTTGGGGGTTTCTGACTTCCAGATTTGACCAGAACTCCCGTCCCCGAAGAGTTTAGCCAGGTTTCACTTAAGTCAAGCACGCGCTAACAAGACAGTCGAGAACCCCGTCTGAACAAAAGGTCGTACTTCTCCGCGGCCTGAACTTAAGGGGCACGTTCGCGTCTCGAGTTCCCCGAAACTCAGTCCTCCCGCCCCTCCCCCCTCCCCCGCTCCCGGAGCTGGGGTCTAGCCCGAGGCGGGAGAAGTTGGCCACCTTCCAGGCGGAGCTCGGAGTTGGGCAGCAGATAGCTCCACGCAATGTCCGCAATCCGATCTTCCTTTCTGCATTTACCAAGCCGATCCCACCTCGGCGCTCGCCCTTCTTCACCGTATTCCCCACCTCTCGGGTTCAAGGGGTCGGACTCAGTGCAGGGCCCGAGCACGCCAAAACGACAGGCCTGACCTTCCCCACCCGCACACTAGCACCGGGATCACCTCCCTGGACTATATATGGGTGGGCAACGCAGTGGAGCCACTACGCCTAAGAGATCTGCGGTTAGTGAGCGTAAATAAATGCAGTCTCCAGGAAGAGTCCCGACTTGCAGGTGACAGAGGAAACGCACCTTCACCGTCTCTGAGGACTTCAGGCGCTCGCACTTGCACACAAACGCACGAAAACCTTGCAAACCCATGCAAAACAGCACGCACAAAGGAGTGCGTGGGTACCCACGCAGCCACGAGTCCCTCCAGGCACTTACTTCTTCCCTTGCCCACTAAGGCGCAGGCCGCCAAGCCCCGCGACACCTACCCTCCAGCTCGCGCCCCGGCGCCAGAGTTTACCTTTGAGCAGGCAGATGTCAGTGCGCTCGGCGTTGCGGCGCAGCGCCTGCACTACCAGCGACACGGTGCTGTCTTCGCGGAGGCTCTCCGCGCGCGGGCTGCGCTCGTCGTAGACTATGACCGCCGAGTAGAGGCCGGAGCGCAGGCGGGCGCGCACCTCCTCCTCCGCGGGCAGGATCTGCTCCAGGCTCACCGAGCCCTTGGCCCGCCGCCGCACGATGGTGTTGCAGCGCACGTTGACCGAGCCTCGGATGTAGCCCGCGCTGTGCGCCAGGAACGGTCTGCAGTCCAGGAGCAGGCACTTGCCGCCGCTCAACAGCCCAAAGGCGCCGTGGCTGCCGCTGCCGCCCGCGCCGCCGCCGTTCTCTTCCCGGTTCATCAGCCTTTTGAGCACGCTGCAGTCCATCTCCCGCAGCTCCTCCACCGTCACCATGGTCGCCGGGAACCGCGGCTGCTGGGCACGCGAGGAGGAGGCGAAGGGACCCGGGCCAGTTGGGCTGCAGGAGGGGGCAAGCGGGGGCTAAGGGAAGCGCGTGCAGAAGTGGCCGCAAACTTGGCCCCCACGGCCTCCCACGGGCGAGCCTCTTGTCCCCGGTCCCCTTCCTCCAGCAGTCTCGCGGTTACATAGCAGTCCGAGCGGCCTCGGGCACCGGGCGGCACCGCGCGCGGTGCTGAGGGGAAGGTGAAGGGGAGTGTGTTTATGGGAGAGAGGACCACCGGGGCTCCCTTCTGTTGCTGCCTCTATTGTATTTTGCCCGTTGTGCCGCTGCCGCCGTAGCCGCCACCGGCGCTGCCGTTCGGACCGCTGACGCTCGCCACCGACAGCCGGAGCTCCGCGCACTGCCCCAGCCAGAGTTTCCTCTTTAGCTTGTAGATGTATTAATGCTCCTCTGCACTCCCCCGGGAGGGGGCAGATTCATTACTACCTCGAGAGGCCCCGCCCCTTGCCATTCTGGGCCTCGCGCCCTCCCCCCCGCCCCCCGCGCCGGCTCCCCGCCCCGCGCCTGCTCCCTCGGCCCCGCCTGCCCCTCCCCTGCCCCCTCCCCTGCGCGTGAATGGAGCGCGGGCCGCTTGCGCCCAGTCATGGGAACGCGACGTCACAAAGAGCAGAGTAAACAGGGCGCTCGGCGCTCGCCTTCAGGCCCATTCATAAAACCGAGACCTAGAGGAAGAGGGAGGCGGCCTCCGACCGGCAGGCGAGCGGCCGCGCCAGGACTTTGTGAATGGAACGCGGCAGCGCCTGTCGCAGCCCGCCGGCCGGCCCCGGCCTCTTCGGCACGCGTCCCGCCCGGACCCTAGTGGCAGTCCAGCCATTCCTCCCCGCCGCGGCGATGCGGCGTTCGGCGTACGGAAAACGGCCCGCCGGGAAGCCGGCCTAACGGCGGCCGGGGCTCGGTTTTGGAGGTTTCATTCCTTTTTGCCCCCGTGCTTTCCCCTTAGCAGCCTCGCAGGTCTCCTCCCGCGAACCGAAGTGGAGAGGGCAGCGTTGCCCCGCTGCCCAGCGGGCATGGCCGGGGACCTCCTCGCCCGGGGCTTACGGAGTGCGTTCCGCCCGGCCGGTCGTTTTGTCAAAGCGACTCCTCAGACGTTAGCTTCTGCACTAGCGTGATCGATTTTCATCTCAAGCCATTAAATCAGCTTTATAGCTTCCCGAGAACGTGGGCAAGCCCTAACTTACAAGATGAAAGAGAAAAGCCCTCCTGCCCCGCAGCCCAGTAGTAGTGAGGTGTTGGGTTTGTTGCTTTACGACCCAGAGGGAGGCATTAATTGCCGGAATGCTGTTTCTATGGAGGAAGGTAGGGGTGCCACTCCCGTCCACGCTTCCTAAAGATGTTTATTGAATCCCGGTGGGGGGAAAACCCGACGTTTTAGGCTTTTGGAAAAGTCTTCACCTCATCTTGCATGCATGTGAATTGTTTTCTCAGGGAATGACAGTTACGGTCTACATTTGGTGCGAAGCTAGACCCTGAGAAATTGATGCGTAAAGGATTGAATAAGTTCTGAGGGTGATTCAGGTTTCCATGCATCTCTCTTTCCAGGTCATGTAGCATTTTTCCCGCCCCCAGTTTTACTTAGGCATTTAATATCCCAGAGGCCGCTTTTGGCATGGGGTTTGTGCGCGCCGCGGTGGGGACACGACACAAGCCAAAAATTATTCGCCCGACATCTTGCCAAATCTTGTTAGTGAGAATTAACCACCGAGCGGGGGAATTACAGGACTCGCTCGCGGCCCCGGTAGCAGCGGGGTCGGGCCTTCCATTCTGGGTCTCCCCTGGAAGCACGACCCAAGCAGCGACGGCCGCCGCGGGGTCCTTCCCGCCCCAAACTCGGCCTTCCGCTCCGCCTTTGTTACTAGCAGAGCGGTTCCCTGGCTCTCATCTCCGGGCCCCCAGGACCCCTCCTCCACTCCCCAGCCGGGCCTCGGGAGGGGGCCCCCCCGCTTCCGAGGCCTACCACCCGCGCTCCCCTCCTACTGCGCCGCGAATCCCCTGATACCCGGGCTCAGGTCAAGTAGGGGATCTTCCTTTTACCTCGGATTACAAAATGGCTCAGCACGGCACTGCACTGATCCGGTTTCTACTTAGCATTTAATATTTTGTTCATATAATTTTTTTGCAATTAATTTTGTTTTAAAAAGCACTGCATTTTTTATCACTTTTCGGTGCCTCCGAAATTTTAACGCCCACGGCACGCTGCTGCTAATCGGAGGGGGCCACAACTGCGCACCTACCGAGGCCTCGGGGAGGCAGGCCCTTGGGCGCCAGGCACTCCGGGTGGGGAGGTCAGCAGCCAAAGGCTCACTGCGTGACCTCTCCGTTGGGGAGGGGTTTGTACTTCCTCCTGAGGGCAAAGGGGGCCTGTGTCCGGTTTTTCATTTGCTGAGCGGCAGCAAGGCTCTGTCTAAACACTCGCTCTCACTGGTACACCAGGAGTGTGCGCCCTTTCCAAGAAGCCGCCCAAGTCCCGGAGGTCCGGGGCGGCCCAGGAACCCGGCTTTGCCCGGCCCGCTGACTGAGCGCTCTCCCGGCCTCAAGAAACGCGACACTTTTATAAGGGCTTGGACGAGATTTCTCTTGGAGGAGCCTCTCAGTCGGATGCAGGTCTGGGCTAATGTCACACGTGTCGCAGGAGCTGGGGAGCCGTCCCTGGGCCACACTGGCCGTGCTCAGCTAGCCTTTGTTTCCCCTACCCGACCCCCGCCCAGCGCTCACGTGGCCGGTAAATAACCGTCAAATCCGGGGGAGCGGGGGGGGGGGGGGGGGGGGGGGGGGGGGGGGGGGGGGGGAGGGGAGGAGGAAAATGCCCAAGGACAAAGGCTTGCTTTCTGCACCTGACAGTAATCCGTGGTGGCGAAGCCCATAAATCCCGCAGGCAATTCACAAGGAAGGTGGTGTGGGCGGGTGTGTGTGTGTGTGTGTGTGTGTGTGTGTGTGTCCACGTCTGCGTGCCCGCGCCTGCGCGCCCGCACCCTGGAGGGGAGCCGCAGCTTCGGACTTAATGTATTTAAGCCAGCAGCAGCTTTAATTGCAAATGCGAATGCCTGATTTTTGAGAGACTAATAAAAAAAAAAATTCTTTCCTCAACTTGGGAAATTCCGGAGCCCTCAGGCGTGTGAATTTCAGCAGATGAAATTTAAATTTTGTATTTATCCGGTTCTCTGTAACCACCCTAGATAATTTTTTTTTTTCATTTTTAATTTTTGGTATTGTAAGTGTGCCGGCCATTTGGTACACGGTTAAATGAATGCAATGTGAGACCTGATACCGGCTATAGAGACGTCAAAACTCCTCTCCAATTAATGTGCAGGCTGGGAATGGGAAACAATCAGTTTACAAAGGAACCTCGTGAAACAGCTTGTCAATAAGGTAGATCTTGGAGAAAACAAAGGCGTTTGGCAGGAAGACATTGTTTGAATGTCATTTCAAAGTTAATTTAATTAAGGAAGGCATATCTGCAGGAGTTGGTGTGGGATTGCCCAAGGAGAGAGATTTTATTTATATTCAGCAGTAACCCTCCGGGTGAAAATACTTTAAAAATTCGCTGTGACATGTAAATCCAACTTCTCTTTCATCAGACAGTCCTTAGACCGACCTTATTAGTCCCTGGCAGACCTGGCAAAACCCCTGCTCTTGTTTAAGAACATTTCTTTCCAATTAGGTTGTTGTGTGATCTGGGAATTTAAAGCCCAGAGTAGGATCCCCAGAGAGGACTATGGCTTCTATTCTGGTTTCGATGCCAACCTCTGACTCACTGCCCTGTCCCAAAGTGCCTGAATAAAACTTGCCTGAAAACCCATTAATGAATTAATCAAGGTGGCATTGGAAAGAAAGGGTCTGTGGATTCCTCTTTCCTGAGCAGAGAAGTTACCTTGCTCATTACTCTCTCACTTGGCACGGAAATGATCTGCTTTGCAAGGACCTGTTGGTTAGGCTTCCTACATCAGCTGATTGGGAAGCTTCTCCTCTGGCAGTGAGAACGCTCAAAAGGACTGGAAAGCTGTCTTCATGCTCCTCACAGCAGAAAAGTGTGTGCCCCCTGCATGTTCTTAGGCAACATACACAAATGGAATTGAGGCATGTATGTCTGTCCTTCCCTGCCCACCTCTGCTCATCAAGTCAGAACTTAAAAGCAATGGAATGTTCTTCAGCATTTGGACTGAACATCAGCAAGCAATGTCAAAAACATAGCCTCAAGTTTTAGACCTGACTTTGTCACATTTACTTTCTATGCATAATACTATAGCACTTGCTAATGATTTAAAATGCTAGGTTTCTGTGGGGCGCCTGGGTGGCGCAGTCGGTTAGGCGTCCGACTTCAGCCAGGTCACGATCTCGCGGTCCGGGAGTTCGAGCCCCGCGTCGGGCTCTGGGCTGATGGCTCAGAGCCTGGAGCCTGTTTCCGATTCTGTGTCTCCCTCTCTCTCTGCCCCTCCCCCGTTCATGCTCTGTCTCTCTCTGTCCCAAAAATAAATAAAACGTTGAAAAAAAAAATTGTAAATGCTAGGTTTCTAACCTTAGGGTCTCTGAAGAAAGGTTTCAATACATTGCTTGGTTCATTAATCTATTTGAAAACTATTCAATCCAGGCTACGCTACCATGTAGCTTTGTGATCTTGGGCAAGACAATCTCCATGGGTCTCAGTTTCCTCATCTGCAAATGGAAGAGTTGGGGCAGGGCAGTTTTTAAGGTCTAGTCCATTTCCCACCCTGTGTGAATGCACAGGAGAGCCTCCTGTCAACCCCAAGCCCAAACCTCAGCAGCCTTCTCCTTTCCCTCCCCAGAGCCTGGCACACTAAATGCCCAAGACCAGGAACAGTCTCTAACTCCTATCTGGCCCTCTTTTGCTCATGGAGAGCAAAGTTGGTGGTTTTTATTTAGATGTTTTTTGTCAAGTGCTAATATCCCAAGTAGCTTGATAACATTTATTCAACAA